CTAGCGCGCTGAGCGGACAAACAGCTGATCAGCTGTTTGTTGGCTCAGCGCGGCAGCCATGTAAATTTAAATGAAGCCGCGATCATTTAAATCGCGGCTTCATTTGACTTTGCCAAACAAACAAATCTACATGGCTCTGTCGACGGAGCCATGTAGTTTAGACGTACCCCCAATGTAAATACAGTAGGCAATAGGGAGATGGAGGCCTAGGGAACCTGCAGACGTGGAAGCCTTGCTGGATGCCGTCTGGCAGGCTGCCCTTGTCACCCCAACACCCACAGACAGGCCTTCTAAGGTGGCAGCAGTAGCGCATAAGACATAGGACCCCCGCCCATAGACCCCAAAAGGGCCTTCCTGCCTATGTAATGAATTGTGGTGGGCTTTATTGGAAAAAGGGGAAAATATGGACAAGTGGCATGGGAAGCCAACAGAGGAATTGATGCTGAGATGCATCCATTTTGGAGTTCTCCTTCCCCGAGGAGACCCCCAAGAGGGTTTCTTCCCCTCATAACACCCCGTCAGCCAAGAACCCCTGGCCGACCCCAGAACTGCATTATTCCCCTGGTGGAGATGGAGGGTAATTGCACCTCCAGGGTATCCACAGAGATGTAAAAGTGTACCCATGTGCCTGAGTACCCCTTACCATAAATGGGAGAACTGAGGAAATGGTGGTGGAGATGGCCACCACTTTGGCATACCCAATTATTCTCGCGCGTGACTGGCCTGGGTTTATGGACCTTCTCCGGGGGGTTAGTTTCGGGGCACCTCCGGCCCAAGTGGTATGTGAAGCGGATCCGGTTAGCACAGGGCCCCTGAGAACGCACCGGGGGGAATCCACGGAGAACCAGGGAGGAGAGCTGGGAGGAAAGAACGACTCCAAAGAGCCAACCCAGGCCAGGGAACCCGCCAAACTGGATCAACGAAACCCCCCACCTGGGGGATGTCCCTTGAGATCAGTGAGAAGACATGACCCTGAAATTTGCTTATGACCGAGAGGTCCGTGTTGACAGGGTGGTGATGGACCCTCAGCAGGCCGAACAGTGGCCCCAATTTGAGTTAAGGGCAGATCGCCTTTACCATGTAGAGCGGGACCCCCAGACTCACGAGACCCGGTCCCAGTTGGTGGTACCACGCTGCCATCGGAGGGCAGTGCTCTGGTTGGCACATGACATTCTTGCTGCTGGCCTCTTGGGCCAAGAAAAAAACCTAGCACAAGTGCTATCCTGCTTTTTCTGGCCAGGGATATACCAAGAGGTCAAGGACTACTGCTGCTCTTGCCCCGAGTGTCAGCTGGCTGCCTACCGTAGGGTCCTGAAGGCCCCACTGATCCCCATGCCCATCCTCAGGACCCCCTTTGAGTGGGTGGCCCTTGATCTCGTCGGATCACTCCTTAGGAGCAAAGTGGGGTTCCAGTATATTCTAGTTTTGTGGACTACGCCACCCGTTTTCCTGAAGCAATCCCCTTACAAAATGCCAGTACCCGGACTATTGCTTCCCAGCTAGTGAAAGTCTTTGAGAGGGTTGGCCTTCCTCGGGAACTACTCACAGACCCAGGAACGAATTTTGTCTCCTGATTGCTTCGACAGGTCTGTGCCCTCCTGGGGATCCGCAAGCTCCAGACCTCAGTGTATCACCCGTAGACGGATGGGCTTGTTGAATGGCTGAATAGAACACTGAAGAAGTTTCCCCCCGTCAGACCTGTAGGAATGAGACCAAGCTCCTGCCACCCTTGTTGCTAGCCGTCCGAGAAGTTCCCCCATCCTCCACCCACTTCTCTCCCTTTGAACTCCTCTATGGGCAAAAACGGCAGGGAGTGCTGGACCTAATGAGAGAAACCTGGGAGAGCTCCCCTCTACATCTCAAGGGCTTCTCTTGGAGAAGCCATGTTATGCAGTTGCAAGGGAGGCTCACCAAGGTGGTGG